GACAATGACTACCATGGCCCCTGCCTGCAGCTCTGCTGCCACAATCTGTTCAGGCACAAACTGCCTTGTACCTTCCAGTGACTTTAATGCAACGCTGAGCCTGGTTTTGGGCACAGTGCTCACTGTAGTCCTGGCTATGGTCATGTTCTCTATGGGCTGCACTGTGGATGCCAGAAAGTTGTGGGGCCACATCAGGAGGCCCTGGGGCATTATCATTGGCTTCATCTGCCAGTTTGGCATCATGCCTTTCATAGCCTTTTCACTGTCGCTGGCCTTTGGTGTGCTGCCTGTACAGGCAGTCGTCATCATCATTATGGGTTGCTGTCCTGGAGGCTCTAGCTCTAATATTATCTGCTACTGGCTGGATGGAGACATGGACCTCAGGTAAGAAACCAGAAGGGCTGACTGGCTGGTTGGCAGGTTCCTTGGAAAATCTAATGTTGGATGCTTCTCTTATTAATGGATTAACTTCAGGCTTGACAGAAACTGGTTCTGCACAGTTATATAGTAGATAAACATGTTTCCAGAGAGTTGGATGGCAGTCCTCACTTTACAGTATATAACAGCAGACAACAGTGAGATATTTGAGTTTCACTGATGACAAATTTAGGTTTTTTCATAATATATATATTTTAATTGTATGTGATACAAAACTAATTTATACATTTAATTATTCAGGGGGAAAAAACAGACAGCTGAGCTGCTGTGTCCCGTAGGGCCAACATGGATATCTGGGTAATCCAGATAAAATATGTGTTGAATAGTTCCATACAGGACCCAACATGTGTGCATATCTGGGTTGTTGATGAGACTAATATGGCGTGGGAACCATGTGAAAAATCATTCTCAGGACCCACATAGGCTTCTTCTTATGTCCTGTTAAGATACTGTACCATACATTATATGCACCTTAATGATGGGGTCCTGTGAGCAGAGCCCTAAGTTAGATTTGCTTTGTTTAGGAGACTGGCACGACATTGTTTTCAGTTTTCACTGTCTTTCTAGAGGACTCACACTGTTTCAGAAATAAAACTGGAGAATCTTGTTAGACCAACACTGTCCATGTTCTCCCCTCCAGTATCAGTATGACAACTTGCTCCTCTATCCTGGCCTTGGGGATGATGCCTCTTTGCCTGCTCATTTACACCTCCATCTGGACTTCATCCGACACTATCCAGATCCCATATGACAGCATTGGTTGGTAGAAAGCTTTTGGTTGATCAGTAGTTTATATATCTGTAAGAATTATGGACAGACATCTAGGTAATGTTTAATTTGATTTGATTTATTCTTTCAAACATGTAAAGACAGTCAATATGTCAACACACATAATTTCACACATATCCACAAATATATTATCAATGTGCTTATACCTAGTACATGCTTGAACGGAGTAGGAAGAAGTTAGACTTATCCAGTCCTACCCCATGACATCATCTTACCACATAGATAATTATCTTCTACACCACATAAGTAATACACTAAAAACACCACACTCACAATATTTCACCTGATCATCGTTAACCCTGTTCTTGCCCATATCTTGATTGACACATACCTTTATGTGTCAATACTCCACAATATGGGGGCGGTGAATGACAGACACACAAACACAGTTTTTAGTTTTTTTACTTTGCAAATATTTAAATACCTATAAATATAAATTGTATTTGGATGTTTTAGCAACAATGTTCAAACTTTCATGGCAACTAAATTATTGAATTAAAACATTAAATTAAAGTTTATTGTGTCACTGAAATGATCATCACGGGGGCGACTGTGGTGCGGTGGGTAGAGCAGTGGTTGGAATTGATTAAAGACGGTGAAATGCTTTGACATCTAGGTTTGAGAATAAGGCATCAAGATAACTCCAATGTCCGTGCACAAGGCTCGGGTGTATGAGTCTGAGCACAGAGCAGCTGTCAAACACTGTGGCTGTGAGAAAGTCATGTTCAAGAAGTGAAACCGGAATTAAAATAGTTGTTTGTTCTTAAACAAGGATTGCATCATAGAAATGTAGTAAGGGCACGGTAACACATGGCACGTACAGGTCGGGTATGTGTGCAGCCGACTATGGACGGCGGTTTGACCTACAGTAGGTCATGTGTTGTTGCTAACGGAGCATAAGGGCCATCAGCTGTGACGCTAGTCTGGGCCTGCAACAGTATGAGACGTTCACGGTACGATAACCGTCTCAGAGGATATCACAGTATTACACAAGTATTATTATCATCATCATCATCGGTGACAACGACCCTCAGAAGAATGAAACAAGGGTCTTGTCCATTGCAGCTGACGGAGCTGGACTGCAGCACTGGGCTGACCCTGAGGAGTGAACTGAGGTATACAGATTAAAACTAGAGCATGTAACTAGAAGATGTTTTATGACCAAAGCATGTTGGCAGCAGTAGTAGAGGACGTGTTCACATACTTTACTTAAGTAAAAGCACTAAGACCACGCTGTGCAAGTCGCCTGCTCCGTCACAAAAAGCCCTGCAGTAATAACATTAAGTACAAGTATTAGCAGGCTACTCACTGCAGTAAAACATTTTACTGTGCAGTGTGTTCACATTACCAGCCTGTCTCATGCACTGATGTAAACGCAGTACGTGGCTGGTGCAGCTCTGCTGAACTCGTTTGGATCCAAGAGCAGCTACGGATTATTTTCTCTAATGATTGACTGGCTGCTTTGTAAACCCTCTGACAGCGAGACGTGGCGCCACGCTGCTCTAAACCATTATCAGAATAGTAGTTGATTTACTGTAGGCGACAGCACAGCCAGGCCTTCACATACACACTCATTTATGAGAGTCGGGGACGTTTGTGTGTGTTTCTGTCTCATCCATAGCACTTGTAATGTCCTCCATCAGGTCGGTAATGGCCAAAGATGTTGACCGGTTCGACCTAAAACCATATTGGCAATCAGAGAGGATTTTATGATTATCAATAAATGAATCTAATCTGTTATTAAAGAGTTTTTCCAGGATTTTTGAAAATGTTAATAAAGTATAGTGTATATTTTACATTACATTTGCCTATTTGGAAACCCTATCTCTGTCTTGGGAATGATCTGTTTTAATAGCCTATTATTTTACAGCGCTATACAGTCAGTTAAAAAACACTACATGTATTCTGATTCGATGATCTTTACGATATGTAATTTGTATCCTCAGGCATCACTCTAGCAGCCCTTCTTATCCCAGTTGCCTTGGGAATGTATTTAAAAAGCAGGTGGCCCCTCATCGCTAAGAAGATCCTCAAGGTAGGAATATTCTGCAAGTTATGGCATCTGTGTAAATATTTTACCTAATCATGCTCATATGCTTTAAATCTTGTGAATCGGATAAGAATTTGATAATGGGGTTTGCTGTGACATTAACGTGTCTGCGGTGCACAGGTGGGGTCCGTTGTAGGCGTTCTTCTCATCATCATCACAGCTGTGGTTGGAGGAGTTCTCTACCAGTCCTCTTGGACCATTTCTCCCTCATTGTGGATTATTGGAACTATCTACCCCTTTATTGGTTTTGGTCTGGGGTTCCTCATGGCCCGGTTTGTGGGCCAACCCTGGTACAGGTAGGGTAACAGCACTCGTGTGATGTTAGCATATACTGGTGCCAGCTTGAGAGATCCTGATCACTTGATTTCCTTAACTTGTATTCATTTTTATGATCCTGCCAAAATATTTTTTAAAATTATGAAACCACTACATCAACAAATACATACTAACCAACTGTACTGACTTGGGGTTGTTTATCATTCTTTGCCTTTTCAGATGTCGAACCATTGCGTTGGAGACAGGCTTCCAGAATACCCAGTTGTGCAGCACCATTGTCCAGTTGTCCTTCAGCCCTGCTGACCTGGAAGTCATGTTTGCATTTCCCCTCATCTATAGCATCTTCCAGCTAATTGTGGCAGTCTCCTTTGTGGGAGGTGAGTGTTTCACAGGCAGACACAGAGGCGGTTAATGATGGCACTTTGGTCCAGAGCTGCTGTAGTAGTAACAGCGGTGGTTCCTACTTGGTGTCAGTCATTTTCTTCTGCAGTACCGGTCTGTGAGGGGACTATTGTCAGTCTCCTAAAATGCCCCTTTCTTCAGTCAGTGCTCAGTTCTGGCACCTTTAAGAAATATTTAGAGCCTCTTTGTCTTTTCAACAAGTCCTGCTCTTTCACAGCATGTTAACTCATCAAACTGAGCTGTTTTTGTTTCTTTATTGTAACTTTAGCAAGTAACAGAACTCCAGTAAGTTTCAGTTCTTCTATTCTATAAAGTTGTGATCTGTGGGCTTCAGTGATTGGTGATGAGTGGAAGCCCGTATGGTTTTTTTATGTGCATGTGGTGGTGCTACAGCAATGTGTCAAAACTTCAGAAATGATCACTTTTGAAGGAAACCTTCACCTGCTCCTCCTGCTTGTCTCTGTGGCCAGGCTGCTGAGGTGTGTAACAGTATAAATATCTGGGGACAATGATTGATGACAAACTTACATTTGATTGTAACATTGACTCTGAATATGCAAAGGCACCCACCAGTGTATGTATTTTTATTGTAAGCTTAGGAGTTTTAAATCTTGATACTTCCTTTATGAGAAGGTTTACTCTTGTTTTATTGAGTCCATTTTAACATTTTCTTTTATTTGCATTTCGCATTGTGAGGATGTGTGGTAACACCCTCCTGAATAGAACTACATGACAGCCCTCTGTCTCCCTCTTCTTGTGACATGTTTTTATTGTATTTGGTATGCGTGTTGACGATGTGGTTGTATGATTACTTACTGCTGGCTGCGAGACAAATTTCCCTGTGGGGATAATGAAGTTGACCTTGACATGTCACTTATTTACTTCAGTGAAAAAAGAAGTGAAATATATCTGCTCTTGGTTTCTCATTGCTCCCACTTTGTTCACCTCTGAATGTAATTGTCTTTGCCACACAATGCTGTGATGCTCCAATGTCCAGCCAATGAGAGAGAGAGGGCCATTCTTGAGGGCTCTGCACTGATTCTTTGACTCTATGTTTATAGAACTCTGAGAAAGAAAATGATCCCAGTAGCAAAAAAGGAGGCTGCACAGAGTTCAAGGACAGTGATCAAGGTTAATGGCAATAAAGTAGGTGATAAGAGGCTGTATAATTTATACCCTGTGGAATGCTGCTGTTAGCTCCTAGTCATAGCTGCTAGCTTATGCTTCCAGTCCTGCTTATACTATTTCCTTTAGCTCCTGCTTTATAATTGAGAAAGAATTAATTCACAATCAGACGTAAATACACTTGGTCCTCTTCATCACTGAGATTGATAATGAAAAACATTTGGTCTGTACACCTTGGTACAGTAAAACTATCCATTACTAGACTGTAATAGGAAAACAGGTGACCACAGCCTATAACCTGATTAAAGATGAAAAACCACCTTTTTACATAGAGGACTGCCTTCGATTGTTGCATCATTCACCATCCCTACATGGACACAGAATAAAGAATGTGATGAATATAATGAAAAGACAAAAAGAACGAAACTGTCTGGAGAAAGGACTAATGCTCTAAAACCCCAGTTTATTTTATTACCGGTTACAAAACATACATACAGACAACTGATCAGTGTTTCTGAATCCATGTTTCTTCCTCTACAGCCTACCAGGCATATAAAAGGTCATGCCGCCATGGTTCAGCTGATGCAGACAGCGAGGCTCCGTCACTGGAGGCTGGTGATGCTGAACCAGCTAAACAGAAGAGCTATGCTGTGGAAAATAGCTCTTTTGAGCATGATGAAAATGGCAACAGTGAGAAAGCTAAGGTCATTGACAGGAACACTGAGCTGTGATGTTAGAAAGCTGCAAACTGCACACTGTGCTATCAGTGAAGACATCCACAGCGCTCCTGAGGACAGCAGCCTCACAGAACAGTGGACTCGCACTGCACTCTGCAGGTTGATGGGGTGCAATGCAGGTCCTTCACAAGAACTGTGGCAGCCAAATGTCTTTCCTGGTACGGCCAGCTCTTGCCTTGGGGGGTGGCCAGTGACTAACATATTGCATTTTTGATGGTTAATTGTATTATAGAAGGCATTAGACCCTTGTTTCTATTAATTTATTTTTATATAATTATTTAAAATAACTTTATTCTGTATGTTCTGTCACAAACCCTGATGTGTATATTTCTTGATCACGACATTTGCTGTGTGTCTTATCTGTAATTCACACTTAATGCTTAATGCTGGATTAACTGTACATTTATCTATATACACATATTTACTGTGGTTTCTGCACTGAATGGTGGAATATACGACCAAGTTCATGTGACATTCAAAATTAAACTGGTAAGATGCAGAGAACTGTGTGCACTTCCGACAGCCAGTGCTCCATGGGCACTGAGCTGTTCCAGCAAATGGACAGAATAAAATGTTTTTATGTTAAAAAGTTGTGTGAGTTTTAGCCTTGTTCTTTATTTTCATGTAGGACATTAAATCAATTGTTCTTATAACCCGGCTTTTCTCATTCTGTACCTCATACTGCCACAATACTTTGAGTCGTGAAATGCTTCGCTTTTCTGGGCAGAGAATATGTGAACTAGTAGGTTTACATCTATCCAAATTAAAGAAACAGGG